CCAAACACCAAAAAAAACTACATATGTGTATGTACAGCCACACACGCATACATATTTACTGTATATGTACATACACATTTATAAATTCAATATATATATTATTTCATTTCCATTTAGTTTGTTGAAGTATTAAAATAACTCAAATTAAATAAAAACTAAAAACTTAATAAAAGACCTATACAGACATAATAAATTCAGACATAATGTAACTAAAATTAAAATAAATAACAAATACAAGTAATACAAATCAAATGACAGTAGTTTATCAGTAATCCTAAAAAATAACACTGCCAAACACACATGCTAAAAAACCAACAACTTACTTACACATAGTAAGAAATGGTTATAAAAACTGAAACAGAAACAAAACAAGCAATAGGAAAGAGGAGAAATAAAAAGTGATACTTGTCTATCCTTTGCTGGTGTCCTGCCCGGTGGAGTCGCACAGTAGAGTCGATGGTCTTTACACTCTTCAGTCTTCACACGAGGAGGCCTTCATGCGACGGCTGCCGCGGTAAACTAAGCTTTTTTATACCCGTCTAACAAAATACTAAATTAATTCAGCTGGACACACTTTCCTTATTTTTTCCACAACAAATGGCCAAGCAAGCGCAGACACTGACAAGATACCCGATACAGAACGAGACCAAACGCGATACCAGCACTCTCCACACAGTAAACAAAACAAGCGTTTCCTAGCAACGACAACTGCACTACACATTAATGACACAAGTAAATACACTTACGAGCTGCTTTTAACTTCCGCTGATAAAGACTGCTTATCTCAAAGAATATTTCTTTACACTGTTTTCTGCTGGCGCTTGATCACACTTTCCTCATTTTCTCCGCAACAAATGGCCAATATATATATATATATACATATATATATATATATATATTTCTACAAGTTGCAAAATAACTAAAACTATAGCTGAAATAAAAGTGCATAAAAAAAGAATAAAAACACAAAACTAAATGACTACAACTTAAACTAAGATGAAAAAGAAAGCAAATATAAAATAAAAGCTAAATTATTTAGAAAAACTAAATAGCTTTAATTGAAACTACTCACAAAAATAAGTTTATAAGATTTAAGTTACTACTCAATACATTAATTAAAGTTCACATTCTAGAGTTTCTGTTTAAAAAAAATTTTTTCAAAACAGAAACCCTAGAATGTGAACGTTAGTTTATATACAGTGGGTATGGAAAGTATTCAGACCCCCTTAAATTTTTCACTCTGTTATATTGCAGCCATTTGCTAAAATCATTTAAGTAAATTTTATTTTGTCGATGACTGCCTGGTGAAATCTGACACATCAACAAGACCACCTGCAAAGGAAATAACTGTGCTCTTTCGTTATAGGTAAAGCTCCTGGCTACAGTATGACTGAGAAGAGGCACTAACATCTGAGTAACTCCAGACGCCACGCACAGAAGGAGACCAGGTGCATCTTGAGCGAAACCAATCAGAAAAGTCACACCTGGTGAAAATGGAGTCCGCTTTCTCACGGGTGGTGTGGGAACCTGAGGGAGAAGACGAAGAGCTCTCTCCAAGAGGTCTGGGATTGCGTCGCAAACGGGAATTCATACCTGAAGACAAGAAAGACGCAACCTACTGGGAGAAACGTCGCAAGAACAATGAAGCGGCGAAGCGCTCGCGAGAGAAACGAAGGGTCAATGACTACGTGTTGGAGACTCGATTGGTTTCGTTGAGCGAGGAAAACGCTCGTCTGCGAGCCGAGCTGTTGGCTCTGAAGCTTCGATACGGTTTGCTTAACCCTGGGACGCCCTATTCCCCATCTCAAAGGGCTCTATCTCAGCTTCACACTTTGGCGCCCCAACCTTTGGTTTCTTGCCCAGACAAAGACCTCTACTGGAGTAGACGGCAAGATAGAGAGGCTTCTCATCTATCGGGGAACCAACAAGCACCCCTCTGTCTTGGCACCCACCCCGGGTCGGCGTTCCTGCCTACGCATCCTATGGCCATACGAAGAAACCACCCATATCTCCTAGACTTCCCCACTCTCCATTCTTCTACAGCCTCACCTTTACTCTTTCCTCCACACCTCGCCCCAGCAGCAGCACCTTGGGCAGGACGGCCCCTGCTCCAGCCAGGGAATCAAAGGATCTTGTCGGACGAGGAGGGCGAGCAGCAGGTGCCAGCAGATTCCAGCACCGCCCTGCCCCATAAACTAAGATTGAAGACGCAAAACTCTCAGCGCAAAGATAACAGAGCTAAATCTGCGTCTCCAAATCCAGCATACATATCAGATTGAAACCAAGCTTTGACTCAGTAGTCATGAGTCATCCTACTCATTTTTGATAATTGAACATTGGCTATATTCCAGGAAGTTTGTTGCAAACCATCATGATGAAAAATATTTCTTTGATCAAAAGGTCACATATTCAGATTAAGTTTCCGAGATACATTTATAGAGTCAATATTTCCATCATTGAGGTTTAAAGTGGCACACTTGAATTGGGATAATGACACACATGTTTACTAATTTTAGTTTTACCTTTAATATAGACAGGAAAGTAGGGGGTGAGAGAAAGAGAACCGGATTTTAGGAATAGAAAAAGGAATTGACCGAAGTTGGACTAGAACCATTCACTCTGCCATAACTTTCACAATTACTTCTTTTGTGAATGCATTTATGTATGCATTTACATTTATGTATTTGGCAGATGCTTTTATCCAAAAGCGACTTACATTGCATTCAATATATATACATTTGATCATTCATGCATTCCCTGGAAATTTAACCTTGGTGTTGCTATAGTCACGATCCAGTGTTTAATCTAAAAGAATGCTACCTCCTTGTTTAATTCAGAATATAACCTATGTCTGATTTAATTTCGCCTCTGGAGTCAGACTGACATTTACACATTTGACAGATGCTTAAGCAACTTACATTGCATTTAAACTATACATTTGATAATTTCATGCGTTCCCCATTACTAATGCATTGTATTACTGATTTGAGCTACAGAATGGTTACTTTTGAGACCTCAAAGCAGCTATTAACAAAATTAATTAAAAGCAAAACAAAAAGGCAGATCTGAAAAAGAAGTTGGACCTGTAAACATGCTAAAATATTGTTTGCATTATAATCCAAAGTACACTGCAAACTAATACTGATGGCATATCTTTGCAGTTACTTTCAAAATGTGAATATGTGTTTCTGAGAGGCCGAAAACAGTAACGGTAACCACCAATCAGATGCATGCAAATGAGAACAAATGAGATTTTAGGGGAAATCACCACACCTCAAAGAGTCTGAAGAGGATATTTCTGGAATCCCTTGATCCAACTGGTGAAGGCAGCATATTTGTACTTTTATTTGACTTCCATTTTGTCTTGTCACTTGACATCTCAGTCATGTGACTTGTTTGGAAAGGTGTTCATGCACAAAGTAAGGTCATCTGTGACCCCTGTGGAAACAATTGCTTGCTTGCTACTCAAAAGTTAAAGCTGTGATCACACAATAAGTGACCTGTATTTTCTGAAAAACATTTTTTTCCACTGGTAACCCACAAAACGACGGCCCATCAGACAGTGTGGGGGTTTTTGGAACCCCCGTTGGGAAGACTTGGGTTCCCACACTCTCTGAATCACCCCAGTGGTCGTATTCATGTCCAGGATGCTCACACGCCTCCAGTATTGATTAACACTTCATAGTCACTTCAAAAAGGCAGCTGCTATTAGCATTGCTCAAGCATTTTTGAAAATCAACAGTGTTGGCAATAGGCAGAGAGCTGAAGCATAGAGCTGGAAGAAAGTCCTTGATGTAGAGTCTCTAAAGGTATTAGTAATAATCTTCAACAATTGTTAATATTTTAATGTTAGTTAGCAGAACAATAGTGTAGCTGTTTAAATGACTAGCGCAACTGCAACAACAACAACAGCAGCAGTCACCACAAGGGGATTTTTGATGTATTACCTCATCTACACCCTTAATGACAAGAACATTATAGAGTTTTAGGTTCAGACATAAGGTACCTGTAACCAAGCTGGTACCTAGCAGGCAAAGGTCAACATGTTCAGCAGAAATTGCTTTGCTATGACGCTCATAACTTTGTGTCGATGACTGCCTGGTGAAATCTGACACATCAACAAGACCACCTGCAAAGGAAATAACTGTGCTCTTTCGTTATAGGTAAAGCTCCTGGCTACAGTATGACTGAGAAGAGGCACTAACATCTGAGTAACTCCAGACGCCACGCACAGAAGGAGACCAGGTGCATCTTGAGCGAAACCAATCAGAAAAGTCACACCTGGTGAAAATGGAGTCCGCTTTCTCACGGGTGGTGTGGGAACCTGAGGGAGAAGACGAAGAGCTCTCTCCAAGAGGTCTGGGATTGCGTCGCAAACGGGAATTCATACCTGAAGACAAGAAAGACGCAACCTACTGGGAGAAACGTCGCAAGAACAATGAAGCGGCGAAGCGCTCGCGAGAGAAACGAAGGGTCAATGACTACGTGTTGGAGACTCGATTGGTTTCGTTGAGCGAGGAAAACGCTCGTCTGCGAGCCGAGCTGTTGGCTCTGAAGCTTCGATACGGTTTGCTTAACCCTGGGACGCCCTATTCCCCATCTCAAAGGGCTCTATCTCAGCTTCACACTTTGGCGCCCCAACCTTTGGTTTCTTGCCCAGACAAAGACCTCTACTGGAGTAGACGGCAAGATAGAGAGGCTTCTCATCTATCGGGGAACCAACAAGCACCCCTCTGTCTTGGCACCCACCCCGGGTCGGCGTTCCTGCCTACGCATCCTATGGCCATACGAAGAAACCACCCATATCTCCTAGACTTCCCCACTCTCCATTCTTCTACAGCCTCACCTTTACTCTTTCCTCCACACCTCGCCCCAGCAGCAGCACCTTGGGCAGGACGGCCCCTGCTCCAGCCAGGGAATCAAAGGATCTTGTCGGACGAGGAGGGCGAGCAGCAGGTGCCAGCAGATTCCAGCACCGCCCTGCCCCATAAACTAAGATTGAAGACGCAAAACTCTCAGCGCAAAGATAACAGAGCTAAATCTGCGTCTCCAAATCCAGCATACATATCAGATTGAAACCAAGCTTTGACTCAGTAGTCATGAGTCATCCTACTCATTTTTGATAATTGAACATTGGCTATATTCCAGGAAGTTTGTTGCAAACCATCATGATGAAAAATATTTCTTTGATCAAAAGGTCACATATTCAGATTAAGTTTCCGAGATACATTTATAGAGTCAATATTTCCATCATTGAGGTTTAAAGTGGCACACTTGAATTGGGATAATGACACACATGTGTTTACTAATTTTAGTTTTACCTTTAATATAGACAGGAAAGTAGGGGGTGAGAGAAAGAGAACCGGATTTTAGGAATAGAAAAAGGAATTGACCGAAGTTGGACTAGAACCATTCACTCTGCCATAACTTTCACAATTACTTCTTTTGTGAATGCATTTATGTATGCATTTACATTTATGTATTTGGCAGATGCTTTTACCCAAAAGCGCCTTACATTGCATTCAATATATATACATTTGATCATTCATGCATTCCCTGGAAATTGAACCTTGGTGTTGCTATAGTCACGATCCAGTGTTTAATCTAAAAGAATGCTACCTCCTTGTTTAATTCAGAATATAACCTATGTCTGATTTAATTTCGCCTCTGGAGTCAGACTGACATTTACACATTTGACAGATGCTTAAGCAACTTACATTGCATTTAAACTATACATTTGATAATTTCATGCGTTCCCCATTACTAATGCATTGTATTACTGATTTGAGCTACAGAATGGTTACTTTTGAGACCTCAAAGCAGCTATTAACAAAATTAATTAAAAGCAAAACAAAAAGGCAGATCTGAAAAAGAAGTTGGACCTGTAAACATGCTAAAATATTGTTTGCATTATAATCCAAAGTACACTGCAAACTAATACTGATGGCATATCTTTGCAGTTACTTTCAAAATGTGAATATGTGTTTCTGAGAGGCCGAAAACAGTAACGGTAACCACCAATCAGATGCATGCAAATGAGAACAAATGAGATTTTAGGGGAAATCACCACACCTCAAAGAGTCTGAAGAGGATATTTCTGGAATCCCTTGATCCAACTGGTGAAGGCAGCATATTTGTACTTTTATTTGACTTCCATTTTGTCTTGTCACTTGACATCTCAGTCATGTGACTTGTTTGGAAAGGTGTTCATGCACAAAGTAAGGTCATCTGTGACCCCTGTGGAAACAATTGCTTGCTTGCTACTCAAAAGTTAAAGCTGTGATCACACAATAAGTGACCTGTATTTTCTGAAAAACATTTTTTTAAAGACTTTTCAAGAAATTCAAACTGCATATGAACCAGTGCAACACATGAACATACAGTGCCTTTGCCTGCTGTAAACTAGTTTTAATTCAATCTCATGCTTTATTTTTAACTGCACAATATGTTTCTGAAAGAATTACACAGCGCTGATCTTTGATGATGATGAACTCTTGTTCAAGTTATAGCATACGGTTTTAGACAAATGCACAATCAAGGTCCGCTTTTATAGACAAGTATCTGAAATATGGACTGACTGCTCAACAAAACCAATGTCCACATCTCATGAATTTTGCTTATTTTGCATATATGCATTTAGCAGCATTTTTTTTGTTGCATTTTTTTGTCATGTTTTGAATAGCTTTTTTTTTTTTTAAGTACACCATTATTTGCCTTCATGTATGTGCTTTTTACATCCTGCAGCAAACACAACATTGTTTTGTTTTATAAAGCAGATGGTATGAGTAGAAAATATGGTGTTGCTAGTGTCATATGCTAACAGCTAAGCTACATGAGTACTTAAATTACATGTATTTGTATATGCTTTTAAACAATTTTTGTCTGTTTTAATAAAAATTTACTTTTATTTCAATCTTTTGTTCATCTGCATTAAGTTGTATGATCTTCAGAATGTTATCATTTTTACAATAAAGTGCAACTGAAAAGCTCAGCTTTTTGACTTTATTATTTGATTGTTCACAACTTAGCACAGTTCAGTCACATAGAACACAGAGTTTATTATAATAATATGCAGTATTACTTTTATCTTGAAAGCGTTTTCGCCTCCACTTACGGCTGTGGGACTGGAAGTGTGTGAGTTGTGCTGCTTGCTTTTGGTGACAGGTCGAAGAACTCCACGGGGCTGCTGCGGTTTGTAAGTGTGAAAGGGGGCTGCAAACAAAGTTTCAGTGGCATGTAGGGGTGGGAAAGGTGGAGTGGGGGTTTCTCAGCACTTATTAGTCACCGTTCATGATCAATCGCGATGTTAACAGCATATACGCCACAAAGTGAGGAGACCAAGCAACAATCTGCTAGTCACCGCTAAAGGCAAGCGAGTGATTCAGTGACTTGCATAACAAGCCTAACTCAAAGAAATCTGGCATAACTATGAAAATGCTTCATTAACCAAAGTTGCTTTTAGCATTCTTGTTGTTGAAAACTGGATTAGCATACATTTAGCTCTGACTTTAGTGTTAAATGTTGTTAATTTCTTCTTTTTCCTGCTGTAACCACCTGAGAGATGAAGGGAGAGAAGTACAACGAAGAAATAGGAAGTTAAAAGTATATTGTCTTTGTCTTTTACATCTGTAAACCACATCCTCTAGCACAAGATCTAGTTGTTTTCTTGTGTTTATCATTTTTGAAAATCTATTTTAGCCAGTTCTTTGACCCAATATGATCTTCTGGTGTTAGCAGAAGCTACAAGATAACAGACTCGCTAATCATGCTAATCTTAACAAATTACATGACAGCTTTATAAGTTTGGATTCTGACTGGTATTTTTGTACAATGATTGCTAAGCCTATATACTGTATATCTGTGCAACCAATAGCAATGCTAATGGTCTCTTAGCACGTTTTCGTTTCACATATTAAAAATCCATATTTGAGTCTTTATCACTCTTTTCTATCATTCATCAAAGATATAAACGTCATATTGTATCAACAGACTAGTTTTTAAAAACTTAGCCTAGCTATGCTAACACTAACAGAAGTTATGCTGCATTCTTCAACACAGTCTTGATTCATTAATCACACTAATTATCATCTATTTTCTGTGATTCACCAAAGATATAAACAGTGGCATTGTTATATTTGATCCACACTGATTTAAAGAAACTTAGCTTAGCTATGCCAACTCTAACAGAAGAAATGATTGCTTAAAAAACATACACCACATTCTTAAACATCCTTCCTTAATGACAGCCTTGATTCATCAATCACGCATTTTTCTTTCAGTTTGAGTCATTGCTTGCCATATGCACAGGCTTTGTGCAGTGATATCGTACTACGTTAGCAAAAGCGCAAAATTATAGCATGAAGATAAATATTCCAGACAGCGACACTACTAGCCCATTTGTGGGCGTAACAAATGATTCAGTACTTCCATCACAAATCCATCAATCACTACAACAATGTGCAGTGCATATTAAAAATGGAAACCCAATGGAAAAGACTTTGAAAACACAATACCTGCACAGATCATTATTTGGTTTTGTATAGAGTGCTAATCTCTAGTAAATGCATAATATTGCATTAATAGAGATTGTGCATCTTTGGTGTGAAAGTGAAACACAACACTTCTCTTTTTCAGTTTATTCATAGACTGTTTAGAACAAAATACCTGGCCACAGGCGACTGGATCTACAACATCATCAAGACATCAAAACCACTCCCATTTTGTATTACGATTACACATTTTCTTTTTGTTTATATGTAAATAAGAGGGTAGTTGTGTGAAAATGCTGTACTTACCTGTGATATTGTTAATTTAGAGGCATGGTCAAAAGGTCATCTGATTAAATATTTTACTTTTGTTTTGAATAGCTTTTTTTTTTTTTTAAGTACACCATTATTTGCCTTCATGTATGTTCATGTACATCCTGCAGCAAACACAACATTGTTTTGTTTTATAAAGCAGATGGTATGAGTAGAAAAGTGTCATGACAAGAAAATAATTGACATTTTCTTGTGCACACATGACTGTACCAGATGCTTATGGCCAACAATTGCTCAGCTGTCATGTCATTTCATTTAAAGTTTGTGGGACCAAATCAAAGTATGCTGACAAGCGGTTGTCTTTATTGAAACTTTTTAGGAAAAAACTGTTTATAGAATCAGGGCTGGTGTTTGTAAGTTGGTTGGTACCTATGTAAACCTAAAGATGAATGATCATTTGACATTATTCGCCTGCTATTCTCATCTGATTGGGTTTTATTGTTCTGGTTTTAAAATAAAAAGTAAACTGTCAGTTTTCAAACAAAAATAAAAAATGCTGTGAAATGTTTATTTTGAACATCATCTTGGCATTTGCAAAAAAAATAAATAAAGTTGAGAACCTTTAAAGGTTATATATGCATTGCATTACATAAATTAGTCAAAAACATTAATATATAATATTACTTTATAATGACATGAAAAATCAGAAAAAGAAGAAATTACAACTCAGGGACTTAGATACATGCTTTTATAAACAGCATTTTTTTTTTCATTGGTACAGTATAAGAACAATATGCTTAACATATTTAAGAATAAAACTATCCAGAACATAAAAATGCTGTGGATATCCATTTATTTAATTTACATCGAATAAAACTGTAAAATGACTTTTTACAAAAAATATCAAAAAGCTTCTTTTAATCAGTTTTACAGTAGTTATTGAGAAATTCTGGCAGTTTGCAATGTACATACAATGCTGCTTAAAATACGACAGTACAGGGCGCAATTGATCTGTTCAAACAAAACATCTCATAATCGAATTAATTTAAGCTTTGTGTTAAATAGATATTGATCGGTAGAGGGCAATAAGGTTGTGACTGATACCCTGTGGTCTTTAAACTGTCCTATTTTAACATTAGGGGGCAGCAGAACAGCTTTGTAAAGTGCCTTCCTGTTTCATTTTAAGCGGCAGCACTTGAGCAAGGTCTAACTCATCATAAATGCTATTTAAAAACAGACAATGTACGCGAAAGAACTCCTGGATGGATCAAAGGATCAGTGGCCTGTGCATAAAAAGCTATCTTTGACTGTACACTCATGCAAATGAGCATAAAATAAGTTATGAGACTGACATTCCCTTTTAAACACACTTACACGTACATAGAAGAGGTGTAAAGGTGTAAAGACACTGAAAGTCACCTGTAATAAAATGCTAAGAAAGTTTTTGTTTTGTTTAAAGCAGTAACTCTTTAAGAGTTTAAGAGTTTTATTAAGAACATTTTATATTGAATAAAAGTATTTCACATTAATTTACTTAACATGAGAACAGGGCACCATAATGAACACACAAAACAGCCATATATATACAATAAAATACAAAATGTCTTAAACCCAGTCTAGATACTGAGGCTATTGGTATTTAGCTGATAAATATGTAATGTTTTTATAAAGACAATGTGCTTTTAAATTGTTACTACTGTACCTTTGTATGCGTGTGTGTGTGTGTGTGTGTAACTTTATGCAGGCATGACTCAGAAGTAGGTGGCAGTGTAATATAGAAGCACTCGGTAGCCTTATTATCCATAGCAAACTAAATCAACTAACTTTTTAAGTAAGGTATAATTAAACAGTTTTAACTTTTTAAACAGTCTGCTAGCATCTCATGTTTCCGACAAAGTGTTTAACAAGCTAAGATTTGGGGCTAATCCAACAACAAATCCTTGTTAAATTGGCAGTGTGAAGTGTATGCCCACTTTATTGCCTACAAACTATCTTTCAGTTTGAGTCATTGCTTGCCATATGCACAGGCTTTGTGCAGTGATATCGTACTACGTTAGCAAAAGCGCAAAATTATAGCATGAAGATAAATATTCCAGACAGCGACACTACTAGCCCATTTGTGGGCGTAACAAATGATTCAGTACTTCCATCACAAATCCATCAATCACTACAACAATGTGCAGTGCATATTAAAAATGGAAACCCAATGGAAAAGACTTTGAAAACACAATACCTGCACAGATCATTATTTGGTTTTGTATAGAGTGCTAATCTCTAGTAAATGCATAATATTGCATTAATAGAGATTGTGCATCTTTGGTGTGAAAGTGAAACACAACACTTCTCTTTTTCAGTTTATTCATAGACTGTTTTGTACAAAATACCTGGTCACAGGCGACTAGATCTACAACATCATCAAGACATCAAAACCACTCCCATTTTGTATTACGATTACACATTTTCTTTTTGTTTATATGTAAATAAGAGGGTAGTTGTGTGAAAATGCTGTACTTACCTGTGATATTGTTAATTTAGAGGCATGGTCAAAAGGTCATCTGATTAAATATTTTACTTTTGTTTTGAATAGCTTTTTTTTTTTTTTAGTAAACCATTATTTGCCTTCATTTTTGTGCTTTGTACATCCTGCAGCAAACACAACATTGTTTTGTTTTATAAAGCAGATGGTATGAGTAGAAAAGTGTCATGACAAGAAAATAATTGACATTTTCTTGTGCACACATGACTGTACCAGATGCTTATGGCCAACAATTGCTCAGCTGTCATGTCATTTCATTTAAAGTTTGTGGGACCAAATCAAAGTATGCTGACAAGCGGTTGTCTTTATTGAAACGTTTTAGGAAAAAACTGTTTATAGAATCAGGGCTGGTGTTTGTAAGTTGGTTGGTACCTATGTAAACCTAAAGATGAATGCTCATTTGACATTATTCGCCTGCTATTCTCATCTGATTGGGTTTTATTGTTCTGGTTTTAAAATAAAAAGTAAACTGTCAGTTTTTCAAACAAAAATAAAAAATGCTGTGAAATGTTTATTTTGAACATCATCTTGGCATTTGCAAAAAAAATTAATAAAGTTGAGAACCTTTAAAGGTTATATATGCATTGCATTACATAAATTAGTCAAAAACATTAATATATAATATTACTTTATAATGACATGAAAAATCAGAAAAAGAAGAAATTACAACTCAGGGACTTAGATACATGCTTTTATAAACAGCATTTTTTTTTCATTGGTACAGTATAAGAACAATATGCTTAACATATTTAAGAATAAAACTATCCAGAACATAAAAATGCTGTGGATATCCATTTATTTAATTTACATCGAATAAAACTGTAAAATGACTTTTTACAAAAAATATCAAAAAGCTTCTTTTAATCAGTTTTACAGTAGTTATTGAGAAATTCTGGCAGTTTGCAATGTACATACAATGCTGCTTAAAATACGACAGTACAGGGCGCAATTGATCTGTTCAAACAAAACATCTCATAATCGAATTAATTTAAGCTTTGTGTTAAATAGATATTGATCGGTAGAGGGCAATAAGGTTGTGACTGATACCCTGTGGTCTTTAAACTGTCCTATTTTAACATTAGGGGGCAGCAGAACAGCTTTGTAAAGTGCCTTCCTGTTTCATTTTAAGCGGCAGCACTTGAGCAAGGTCTAACTCATCATAAATGCTATTTAAAAACAGACAATGTACGCGAAAGAACTCCTGGATGGATCAAAGGATCAGTGGCCTGTGCATAAAAAGCTATCTTTGACTGTACACTCATGCAAATGAGCATAAAATAAGTTATGAGACTGACATTCCCTTTTAAACACACTTACACGTACATAGAAGAGGTGTAAAGACATACAACAACTGAAAGTCACCTGTAATAAAATGCTAAGAAAGTTTTTGTTTTGTTTAAAGCAGTAACTCTTTAAGAGTTTTCACACATTATTAAGAACATTTTATATTGAATAAAAGTATTTCACATTAATTTACTTAACATGAGAACAGGGCACCATAATGAACACACAAAACAGCCATATATATACAATAAAATACAAAATGTCTTAAACCCAGTCTAGATACTGAGGCTATTGGTATTTAGCTGATAAATATGTAATGTTTTTATAAAGACAATGTGCTTTTAAATTGTTACTACTGTACCTTTGTATGCGTGTGTGTGTGTGTGTGTGTAACTTTATGCAGGCATGACTCAGAAGTAGGTGGCAGTGTAATATAGAAGCACTCGGTAGCCTTATTATCCATAGCAAACTAAATCAACTAACTTTTTAAGTAAGGTATAATTAAACAGTTTTAACTTTTTAAACAGTCTGCTAGCATCTCATGTTTCCGACAAAGTGTTTAACAAGCTAAGATTTGGGGCTAATCCAACAACAAATCCTTGTTAAATTGGCAGTGTGAAGTGTATGCCCACTTTATTGCCTACAAACTACTGGGCATATAAATTAAATTGCCTAGCAAAATGCAATAATGTACGTTTTTTTTTACTTTTGAGGGCATTGGCAATTTCTTGGCAAGCAGAAAGCACCTCTGTAAATAATTATAATCTAAATCATTCTGGACTTTTCTCACAACAACCTCCATAACATTAAGAGCATAATTGAACTTTCATTTTAGAATTACATGTTCTGTAGAAAATTTGTAATGGTCATTATATATCACTACAAGCTTGAAAACGGGTACCTAATGCCAGCTGGAAGTACGTAATTCATCATAAATGTCTTAATAAATATGTAAAATATCCCAAGACACCAAAAGTAAGGATAGATTATAAATAGCTGCTGATGGAAATCACCCCTCAGCAACTACATTATTCATTGCTCCCATTAAAACCCTCTGTCTTAAAATCCGAACCCATAGTCATGCAGGACTGGTAGTAGAAATGTATTTCAGTTTGAAATAACAATAATGTGCGGTTAACTCCTTTAAACTGATAGTATGCCCATTTTATATCATCTTCATGTTGAACTTTCGGGCCCCTCCTTGACCCCCGCTGGCAGCGGGACCATCTACCTTTCTGAATGAATACTCAACTGAGAAATTGTTCTTGTGCTGACCTCGTCCTCGGCTCCACACAAATAAGAGAATGAAACAAAAAAGCACAACACCCAAAAACATGATGCAGCCCATTGCTGTGGACACCAGGATGGTCTTGAGGTCCAATGTGAATTTTAGGAAGACACGTGTGTCGTTTAAGTTTGTGTCATTTAGATCTCCCACATAGTAGGTGCGATTGGCTGCCAAAGCAGCATCCAATGGCAAACCACTGACTGTTAGGGTGGCAAAGTAGGTGTCGTTGCCACCAGCATTGCTTGCAATGCAGATATAAGTCCCGCTGTCTGTTATCTGGGCATAACGGATCTCCAGCGTACCTTCAGGTAGGACAATCACTCGCCCAGTACTCTTGGTAGTGATACGTCGGCGCTGAGGTGAAATCCAAAAGATCACCGGAGTTGGGTCTCCTTCCGCTCGACACACAAATGACACCACCTGACCTTCACGAGCCGTCAGCTGTTGCAGTTTGCGGTTGCGAATTTTAGGCCGCTGACAGGTGAAATGGTCAAAGAGTGCAGAATCCGAGAAGGTACTGAGTGCTTTTCCTCGCAGTTCTACAGGTGTGGCACAAACAGGTGACTTTCCGTCAAAGTTGAGGGTCTTCCGGCGCTGCAGGATCCACAGTAGGCGGCAATCACAGGACAGAGGATTGCCATCTACACGCAATGTCTCCAGCGTGTTGACTGAGTGGAAGGATCCCTCCTCTAGGGTCACTAATCCATTGTTTGACAAGTTGAGCAATCGTATCTGTTGCAGGCCTCCAAGACCGTAGGGTTGCACTGATGTCAGGTTTGTACCAACTAGGTGCAGTTCCTTCAAGCGGACAAGATCCCGCAAGGCCCAGGACTCAAGAACTGAGATGGGGTTGTAAGACAGATTGAGGCTTGCCAAGTGAATTAGGTTGCGAAGGGCTCCCGTAGGCACGGTGGAAATGTTGGTGTTGGTAATCGAGAGCCAAGAAAGGTTGAGACCTTGGAAGCTGTGTGGAGAGATGTACTCAAGGAAGGGCCAGTGGTCAATCTCAAGACCCCGCAGTCCACCAAGTTTATGAAAGTTCTGCTCTTCCAACAAAGCGATACTGAGGTAGCGTAATCGAAGAGTCACCAAGCCGCGAAGGTAGGAAAGAGACTGTCCAGTTATAGAGGTCAGATTGCACCTCTCGATGGTTAGCTCCCGGAGCCCCACCAGTCCTAGGAAAGCCTTGTTTGAAATGTACACCAGGTCATTATCACCAACCTCCAAATTGCGGAGGTTCTTCAAGTCCTGGAAGGTGAAGTCCAACAGGATAACCAGTTTATTCCCACTTAGGTCCAGAGTGGTGAGGTTGGTGAGACGTGAAAAGGCACCCATGGGCACGAGTTTAAGCTGGTTGGATCGCATACGCAATACTCTCAGGTTAAGCAAGCTGGAGAAGGCATTAGGCTCCAACACGCTGATGAGATTCTCGCTCAAGTCTAGTTCCTCAAGTCTCGAGAGAGTCGCCAAGTCATTGTATTCCACCCAGCGCAAACTGTTGCCGCTCAGATCCAGCAGCCATGTGTCAGTCGGGATGCCTCCAGGAATAGAGCCCAGACGCTTGTTCTGGCACATCACGGCTCTCTGATGAGGGATACAGTCACAGCTCTGTGGGCAGCTTTGGCCATGTGTTAGGGATGCAGCGATTAGGAGCACAAACAGCCCCGGTAAGCTCAGGCGTGGACAACCCGCCATGCCCCTTCCCTACCTTACTGGGGCTGAATCACTGCCCCTCACACCTGCAGAAAAAAAAACACAAAAAACAGGTCTTGATTAACCACAACTTTGCAACTCTCATCTATAACCACTTCTACAGCATTATGAAGCTGTCCTGAGTCAAATGATTACTTACAGTTTGTATGAGCATGACTACTACTAATGTTTTAGAAAACATTGGCCAAAAAAGTGCAGCTGGATAAAATATCTTTGTGAAGACACAGCACATCTTCAGTAAACAATATTATTACAATATAAACAATCTTCACATCAAGTTAGTGCCTGTAAAACTGCAATTTTAATGAATTTAACCCCCCTACATAACACCATTAAAGGATATTTCACCCAAAAATGAAAATTCTGTCATTAATTACCCTCATGTCGTTCCAAACCAGTAAGACCTTCGTTCATGATTGGAACACAAATTAAGATATTTTTTATGAAATCCGAGAGCTTTCTGACCCTCCATAGACAGCAACGCAACTGACACGTTCAAGGCCCAGAAAGGTAGTACGGAAATTTGTTCAAATTTAAACACAAATATCTTGGGTTTTGTGCTTACAAGTTAATGTCTTAAACTGCCGATCTTGTTACTGTGCTAATAAATAGTGTGTTCACTATATTTTGGATATTAATATCCATGCAGAGTTGATGTTGTACGGCCCGTTCAGTGATTCAGTTGATCAGCGTAAAACAGTGATTCTGTCCAAATTCCATATAAAATCAAAAATAATTCCCTTTGAGCTAAATTGACCTGTTTCCCTTACATCTCGAGCCCGAAGACTCAAGAGATGAACTAATCAATTCTGATTCCGGGACTACGTAGCGTTATAGCCTATGGGACTGGATGAACGAACGACTTGAACCCGAACACTCGAGAGTGAACTAATCATTTCTGTTTCCGGTACAGACTGCAGTTTAAGCTTCAGTTTTGGGGACAGATCAGGAGGTGAGGGAAACTAACAGACTGCAGAATCTGAAACAATGAATTAATCGTTTCTGTTTCCCATAATCTGGCCTTGGTTGCATTATAGTTTCATTGCATTAACAGTCTTATTAGAAACGTTGCGTGAGTAGATGTTTCATGGAATTTGGCTTTTAACATGTAATATTTTAATTATATTTTGCTGAAATGAACGAAATGACTCGGAAAAAGATTTGTTAATTTTGATAAACGCGATTCAAAGATTCGAGTCAGGAAAATGATCTAATCTTGAATGTTTGATCTGAAGTTGAATGTTTGTCAGAAACTGAAAGTTGCACAACATTGCTTTGTGTTTACCAGGGTAACTGGGGTGTTTCTGCTTTTCTATAAGCGCCACATACTGTCAGAGAGTGAATTTGCATTTTCATTCATCCAGTCTGTCATTCTTTTTGCATGGATCTGAATAAACAAGCTGGATGATTATTGCACCAAATGTTCATGACCAACATTCATCTTTGTGAGAGGTCTTTAAAACTGTAAGATTAAGCCATTTAAATCTGAAAAAGTGTTATTTGAGGTTAAATGCAATGTAAAACAAAGTTTCAGCACCCAGCTTTTTTCACTGACATGGTAAGGACCAAAGTACATAGAAAAAGCTTTAAAGGGATAGTTCACCCTAGTTCACCCACCACCCATTAATTACTCACCTTCATGTCGTTCCAAACCCGTAAGACCTTCATTCATCTTCAGAACACAAATTAAGATATTAATTTTGTATGAATTCCGAGAGCTCGCTGACCCTCCCATAGACAGCAAGGATCCTAACACGATCACATATGTAAACAACGTATGTATGCGGATACGTTGTTTACGCTTTGATACTTTGATACACATGAACAGGCTGAAATCTCAGTTGACTTAATGCCCTCTTCAGGTTCATGATTTCTTTATCTTTATAAGCCAAGAAATAAATTAACTGTATCGAGCTTTGAGCTAGGCATGTCTTCAAAATGACTTAAGATCATGGTTGATTTATTTAGCATTTTATCTGTCTTATTCCTCTCAGCGCGACGCGAACAGTAAAACTTGCTGGTTTGTTTACTATGATGTGGGCGTTTACACGCCGCGCGCTTCACGTGGAGGTCAATCTCAAGACCCCGCAGTCCACCAAGTTTATGAAAGTTCTGCTCTTCCAACAAAGCGATACTGAGGTAGCGTAATCGAAGAGTCACCAAGCCGCGAAGGTAGGAAAGAGACTGTCCAGTTATAGAGGTCAGATTGCACCTCTCGATGGTTAGCTCCCGGAGCCCCACCAGTCCTAGGAAAGCCTTGTTTGAAATGTACACCAGGTCATTATCACCAACCTCCAAATTGCGGAGGTTCTTCAAGTCCTGGAAGGTGAAGTCCAACAGGATAACCAGTTTATTCCCACTTAGGTCCAGAGTGGTGAGGTTGGTGAGACGTGAAAAGGCACCCATGGGCACGAGTTTAAGCTGGTTGGATCGCATACGCAATACTCTCAGGTTAAGCAAGCTGGAGAAGGCATTAGGCTCCAACACGCTGATGAGATTCTCGCTCAAGTCTAGTTCCTCAAGTCTCGAGAGAGTCGCCAAGTCATTGTATTCCACCCAGCGCAAACTGTTGCCGCTCAGATCCAGCAGCCATGTGTCAGTCGGGATGCCTCCAGGAATAGAGCCCAGACGCTTGTTCTGGCACATCACGGCTCTCTGATGAGGGATACAGTCACAGCTCTGTGGGCAGCTTTGGCCATGTGTTAGGGATGCAGCGATTAGGAGCACAAACAGCCCCGGTAAGCTCAGGCGTGGACAACCCGCCATGCCCCTTCCCTACCTTACTGGGGCTGAATCACTGCCCCTCACACCTGCAGAAAAAAAAACACAAAAAACAGGTCTTGATTAACCACAACTTTGCAACTCTCATCTATAACCACTTCTACAGCATTATGAAGCTGTCCTGAGTCAAATGATTACTTACAGTTTGTATGAGCATGACTACTACTAATGTTTTAGAAAACATTGGCCAAAAAAGTGCAGCTGGATAAAATATCTTTGTGAAGACACAGCACATCTTCAGTAAACAATATTATTACAATATAAACAATCTTCACATCAAGTTAGTGCCTGTAAAACTGCAATTTTAATGAATTTAACCCCCCTACATAACACCATTAAAGGATATTTCACCCAAAAATGAAAATTCTGTCATTAATTACCCTCATGTCGTTCCAAACCAGTAAGACCTTCGTTCATGATTGGAACACAAATTAAGATATTTTTTATGAAATCCGAGAGCTTTCTGACCCTCCATAGACAGCAACGCAACTGACACGTTCAAGGCCCAGAAAGGTAGTACGGAAATTTGTTCAAATTTAAACACAAATATCTTGGGTTTTGTGCTTACAAGTTAATGTCTTAAACTGCCGATCTTGTTACTGTGCTAATAAATAGTGTGTTCACTATATTTTGGATATTAATATCCATGCAGAGTTGATGTTGTACGGCCCGTTCAGTGATTCAGTTGATCAGCGTAAAACAGTGATTCTGTCCAAATTCCATATAAAATCAAAAATAATTCCCTTTGAGCTAAATTGACCTGTTTCCCTTACATCTCGAGCCCGAAGACTCAAGAGATGAACTAATCAATTCTGATTCCGGGACTACGTAGCGTTATAGCCTATGGGACTGGATGAACGAACGACTTGAACCCGAACACTCGAGAGTGAACTAATCATTTCTGTTTCCGGTACAGACTGCAGTTTAAGCTTCAGTTTTGGGGACAGATCAGGAGGTGAGGGAAACTAACAGACTGCAGAATCTGAAACAATGAATTAATCGTTTCTGTTTCCCATAATCTGGCCTTGGTTGCATTATAGTTTCATTGCATTAACAGTCTTATTAGAAACGTTGCGTGAGTAGATGTTTCATGGAATTTGGCTTTTAACATGTAATATTTTAATTATATTTTGCTGAAATGAACGAAATGACTCGGAAAAAGATTTGTTAATTTTGATAAACGCGATTCAAAGATTCGAGTCAGGAAAATGATCTAATCTTGAATGTTTGATCTGAAGTTGAATGTTTGTCAGAAACTGAAAGTTGCACAACATTGCTTTGTGTTTACCAGGGTAACTGGGGTGTTTCTGCTTTTCTATAAGCGCCACATACTGTCAGAGAGTGAATTTGCATTTTCATTCATCCAGTCTGTCATTCTTTTTGCATGGATCTGAATAAACAAGCTGGATGATTATTGCACCAAATGTTCATGACCAACATTCATCTTTGTGAGAGGTCTTTAAAACTGTAAGATTAAGCCATTTAAATCTGAAAAAGTGTTATTTGAGGTTAAATGCAATGTAAAACAAAGTTTCAGCACCCAGCTTTTTTCACTGACATGGTAAGGACCAAAGTACATAGAAAAAGCTTTAAAGGGATAGTTCACCCTAGTTCACCCACCACCCATTAATTACTCACCTTCATGTCGTTCCAAACCCGTAAGACCTTCATTCATCTTCAGAACACAAATTAAGATATTAATTTTGTATGAATTCCGAGAGCTCGCTGACCCTCCCATAGACAGCAAGGATCCTAACACGATCACATATGTAAACAACGTATGTATGCGGATACGTTGTTTACGCTTTGATACTTTGATACACATGAACAGGCTGAAATCTCAGTTGACTTAATGCCCTCTTCAGGTTCATGATTTCTTTATCTTTATAAGCCAAGAAATAAATTAACTGTATCGAGCTTTGAGCTAGGCATGTCTTCAAAATGACTTAAGATCATGGTTGATTTATTTAGCATTTTATCTGTCTTATTCCTCTCAGCGCGACGCGAACAGTAAAACTTGCTGGTTTGTTTACTATGATGTGGGCGTTTACACGCCGCGCGCTTCACGTGGATGATTATAATATCAATAGCGCTCAGCTTGTGGGCGTGGTCGCATTAGAGATAATGAAGGGAGATGTGAAAAACTGGACATCGCGTTGGTTTCATATGGATTACTTTATCACAGAATATTTGCTTTCGATAAGACTTGCTTAGTTTAAAAGTAGACATGTCAAGCTTTCTATAGATATATCTCTCATGTCTCTTTGTTGAGTATTTGCTGAGTTACAGTTCATTTTAATAACGCGTCTCTAAATAAAGATTACGCAGACCAAGGCGGCAGACTGCACACCCTGTTTGTTTTCTTTATTTTATAAATGCACAAAGTTCTGTTGTTATTATCTGTGTATACAAATAAAAGTAGACCCTTTACAGATTCGATTAATGTATTGCTCTTATCTGTAAGATCAAAACTGAAAGTGTAATTTAAGTTATTTTCGGTGTGATCAGGAGAAGATGCCTCAAAACGCGTATCCGCGTTAATCGACCTCAGAGGGTTAAAATTAACATTGTCTTTACAAATGTGCAATGGAAGACATCCCAGTCAGTGCATTTTTACATGAACATTCAGGCCCACCCTGGTGCTACAGTTAAACATAATGAGACTTACCTATGGAACAGAAGTTTAATAGTCCAATCCCAGAGTACCAGGTTGTTATTGAAAAGTGACATTTCAAATGTACCCCAGCACAACCCTTCTTCTCCCTCCCCCATCATCTCTGGTAACCCAAACGCATGACCAGCCCCTGGTTCAAGCCCATATCAGTTGACACTATGAAGCTGTCCAATCAGCACAGACCACTACTTCAAACAACAAACGGAGTGCACAGGATCGCTATAAGTCAATCAGCAGCGTGAGGTGAATAGAAGACTACACCTGACTATGACTCAGGTGTCAAAGCTTGTGTCACGGGTCATTATGTCAGAAAATCATGAATACTAATAATAGGCAATGATTAATACCCTGCCACTTTTCTTTCCACCCCTGCTGTCTCTCCCAATCACGAACTGTCAACAAAGCATATTTCAACTGCTTATTAAATTTAATTGTCCTCATATGAATTTGCATATATGTCCATGCAGATGTGCAATAACTCCAAACTGTTGGAATACAAATACTGTAACTGTACCACTGCATAGTTACACATACATTTCAGAAGATATTGCCCCCTTAATGGGCTATTTTACCCAGAAATGGCAATTCTGCCATTATTTACTCACCCTCATGTCAGTAAACAGTTTAAACTGTTTTTGTCCACATAATCAAAGTAAATGGGGTCCAAAACATTGGTCTCCACTGACTTTCATTGTATGGACAGAAAAAAAAGAGAAAAAGACATTTTTAAAAATATTTTTTGTGCTAAAGTATGTCATAGGGTTTTGGAGTGACATGAGGGTGAGTAAAATTGTCTCTAAAATACATTTAACTCCAAATTGAGCTTCCCTGCATTGGAATTTAAATGGAGCTGACCTCGACCTGAAAGATGTCAGGAGTAAATGAGAGACACGGCTACCTCTTTGCTCTGTTGTTCACCTCAGCAAGGTAGCATGTCACCTGAGAATTACATAACAGCTGTTAGTAGATACGTGAAGGGCAAATCAACCAATTAGTGTTTATTTTCCAGTAACAGCTGTTGAGAGGCTGGTTAAACATAAAATATCAATACAATTTAAGATCAATGTTCTAAAAACAGATTGAGAAAAGTAAAAAAAAACTCTGCTGCCAAATCTACACTAGACACCAAAAGTATACTTGGGCATTATATATATAAATTACAACAAATTAAACTAATATAAAATGAAAACATTACTATAATATATACCGTATAAATAATACAGCTGATTATACAGTAATACAGTAAAATAAGTATTGAACACGTCACCATTTTTCGAAGTAAATATATTTCTAAATGTGCTGATGGCATGAAATTTTCACCAGATGTCGGTAATAACCCAAGTAATCCATACATACAAAGAAAGCAATACAAATAAGTTCAGAAATTGAGTTCTGTGTAATAAAATGGAATGACCCAGGGAAAAAGTATTGAACACGCTTACTGAAATTTAATTAATACTTCGTACAAAAACCTTTGTTGGTAATGACAGCTTCAAGACGCCTCCTGTATGGAGAAACTAGTCGCATGCATTGCTCAGGTGTGATTTTGGCCCATTCTTCCTCACAAACAGCCTTCAAATCTTGAAGGTTCCTTGGGCCTCTTCTATGAACTCTGATCTGAAGTTCTTTCCATAGATTTTCTATTGGATTCAAGTCAGATGATTGGCTGAGCCATTCTAGCAGCTCTGAAACCAATTGAGAGTTTCCTTGGCTGTGTGTTTGGGATCATTGTCTCGCTGGAATGTCCACCCTCATTTCAACTTCATCATCCTGGTAGATGGCAGCAGATTTTTATCAAGAATGTCTCAATACATTTTTCCATTCATCCTTCCTTCAGTTATATGAATTTTGCCAGTGCTACACCATGATGTTTTGGAGTGATGTGCAGTGCCATTTGACCTCCAAACATAGTGTGTATTATGGCTTCCAAAGAGTTTAATTTTGGTCTCATCTGACCAGACTACATTCTCCCAGTATTTCACAAGCTTGTCTAAATGTTGTGCAGCAAACTTTAAACAAGCTTCAACATGCTTTTTCTTCAGCAATAGAGCCTTGCGTGGTGAGCGTGCATACAGGCCACGGCGGTTAAGTGCATTACTTATTGTACTTATTGTTTTTGCAATTGTACATGCTAATTCCAGATCTTTGTAGCTCTTCACAAATGATCCTTGGCTCTTGGACAACTCTTCTGATATTTCTTTTCACTCCTCTGTCAGAAATCTTGCGTGGAGCTCCTGGTCGTGGCCGGTTTATGGTGAAATTATGTTCTTTCCACTTCTGGATTATGGCTCCAACAGTGCTCACTGGAACATTCAGAAGTATAGAAATCCTTCTCTAACCAATGCCATCAGTATG